TAGGGGGTGTTCATAAGATGAGATAAGATTGAGACACTCTTATCTTGTATCTTGTCTTGAAAAATTATTAGGATTAAATTTTTGTCTTGTGTTTCATTTGGTCTTAATTATTTTCAAGGCGGGACAAAATCAGGTCAATCAAGACCAATACAAGTTGAATACTGCTAGACATGTCACCCTCGCCGATGCAGGCAATTAATAGCGTTTGGTTTGTGTTCATCACTTGAGGAGCATCTGGGTGTGGACTCAGATTTTTAATTTAGACAGTTTAAGTTTTAATATTTTTATTTTATATTTATAATAAAAAATTATAAAATTTTAATAAATTTATCTTATTATTAATATGCACAATACAGATTTAATTTAGATAACTCAATTTAATAATAATTTTTTATAATTTGACTCTCCAAATATATTATGGACAGTTTAAATTTAATAATAATTTTTTTAAAATTTTTATTTTATTAAATATAATATTAAAAATAAAAATAAAGATAATATTTAAATTGAGACTTTTAAAAAAAATTAAGAAAAAGTTGTAACTTGAAAATTTTAAATTCAGACTATCTAGAGTATAGTTAGATAATTAATTTATAAAAATTATAAAAAATTTTAATATTAAATTAAATCATTCACATTAAATTTATATTGTTGATATTAATAATAAGATAGGTTCATTAAAATTTTATAAATTTTTATGAGCACCGTGCAGCAGCGAAGCCGGACTCCAATTAATAAGGAATGTTAACTGTTCGCAGACGAACAAGTCGTAAGGCTTTTGTCAGTGTCCGATCGCGGATAAGAGCATTCCGGAGATACCAAAACTCTCCGTATCTATGTGTCCAAAACACAAATACAAATCAAAGCTAAGGGAATCCAGTAAATGGTGCACATTAAAGATGAGTTAAAGCAACCCTCTAATTAACGGGCTACGAGCTGTTAATATGTCCTTTTTTAATATTTTTTATAATATCTCAACTTTTTAATTTTATTTTTTATTTTTTTTTGAAACATTGACTTCTACATAAAATAAGAAATATTTAAATATCTTGTTGTCTCAAAATGATAAAAATTTATATTTTTTATAATTTTTTTTAAAATATCACAAATACACCCTTTTATTTTTTAAAATCATAAAAAAATATAAATTTTTACCATTTTGAGACATCAAGATATTTAAATGTTTCTTATTTTATGTAGAAGTCAATAATATAAAAAAAATAAAAAATAAAATTAAAAAATTGAAATATTATAAGAGACATTAAAAAAAGGCACGTTAGAGGCTTCTAACTCCTAATTAACCTTCACTCACAGATGTGAACGATGTGGTTGACATCTGTCCGTGGCCAAGCCACTTTCAACAATCTCCCGCTCGCGGACGTCAAGACAAACGAAGAGATCTTCAACACTCATGTGTCTGCGAACGAGCACGTCTGTTCGAGGGTACATTATCTTAACATGGGCACAGGGCAGCATTTAATTTAAATTTTGAATTAGATGTGAGGAATCAGATAAGATATGGCGAGATTTAGATCAATCTAAGTGTAATATCACCTTCTACAATCATATACTTAACCACATTATCTTCCGGTTATTATGATAATTAAGGAAATGGCCACTCTAGCAGCCATGTATTAGAGCTGGTAAAAAAAGCCAGCCCGGCCCTATAGGGTCGGCCCTTGAAGGGCTTGAGCCTAAAAGGGCCAGCCCTTTTAAGCCCGAGTTTTCTTTAGAACTTTGATTTTCGAAGCCCGGCCCTTGACATGATGGTCTCAGGGTCGGCCCTGCGGGCTTTAGGCCCTTTTAACTATTTTTATTTTTTTTAAATTTTTTAATCAAACAAAAAATTACTTCATTTTAATATAATACTCAATCAAAAAAGATATGAAAAAACTAACTAAATAACATCTAAATAAACTAAAAACACAAATAAAATAATAACAATACAATAAGTAATAGATCGGTTAAGCCGACAAACACCCAATCAAAATTAGAAGAGTAAATGTTGAACTGAATGAATTATTATCATGGATCTAGATGAATTAGGGGATTTAAGATTGTATTTTTTTTAGAAAATAGTAGCTAAGGATTTCTGTATGAAATTTATATCAATTAAGAATCAATTATTGTTAAAACCTGAATAAAAAACAAGCTACAATAAACTATTGTTAATTTAAAATGAGTTGTTATTAAAATCTAAATGAATACTTATTGATAAAGGTTAACTCGAATTCACAAGTATCTACTCGAATTTTGACAATAAGTAATCTTTGACTGATATAATTTTTGATCAGTAATTCTTCACTGCTATTTTTCCTTCTTCTTTTTTACCTTCCATCCTCAATAAATATGGGCTAACATGTGATGTGGAGTAACATTTAGTTTAATTTTTTTTTAAATGTAAAAAGAGTAAAAATTATGAGAATTAATTAAAAAAATACATATGTGGGCTTAAACGGGCTGGCCCTTGGCCCTGCAGAGTCGGCCCTTTTAAGCCTTAGATTAAACGGGCTTAAACGGGCCAGCCCGTTTAAGCCCGATTTATCATTTTGGAGTCCTATTTACAAGCCCGGCCCTATTCTTATACGAGCTTAAACGGGTTAGCCCAACAGGCTCGGCCCATTTTTCAGGCTCTACCATGCATGCCATGGTAAATAAAACTTAATAACGGTTATAAAAATAACTAATCTAATAGAAAAGGTAAAGAGTTAATTTAGAGATCTATTATAGTTAAATAGTTTAAATCAAAGTAATTTGGATTTATTACAGTAGAAAATCTGAAAACTCAAAATTGACAATAAGATTCTTTGGAAATAATGGGATTCCAAGTTTAATAATGGACATAAACTTCTTAAAGCAAGAAAGCCAATATATGAGTTACAGAATATATGAAAGTATAAGATATTAATTAAAATTGAAAAACACTTGAAAATGGTTGATAGTGTCATTCCACAAATTCTAGACACATTCATCATGGCTCACAGGGTGTTCATCACTATGCATCCCTCGTTATACCATAGATTATGGTGCATTACATAGAACCACATCAGTGAATTTCTATCAATTGCATATGTGGGGGACCAAACTTTTGGCATGCTCTAAATTTTTGATCGAGCTCGATTGAAATGATCTAAATGTTCACACAAAATTTATTTAATATATTAGCTAATGGAATTAGTTTTATTTTAAAATAATATTATATCATGAAGTTGGACATCTGAAACCAAAACAATTACATCTTCATACTTAAACACTTTTAGGGTGTTCAAACTCCCAACCAAGTGTCTATAGCTCAAACCAACATTTAAATCACACTTAAGGGACTAAAGACAACTTGTACAATGTATCACAACATATCATAACATCAAGCAACCCAATTTCAAATTTCAACTCCATATTTAACTAAAAATAAATAGGGGACCATAATTCACAGAAAAAAGTAATAATCACACTTACAATAGTATTTTGATTTTACCTAAACAATAAAATTCACATAATACATCCTCTTACGACCAAATAATAAACATAATGAAAATGGTGCAAGTATGATAAAATGAACATTTTAATTGGCAATATCATTTAAATTACACATATAAACTCAAAATAAACAAGCAGTACAACTAGAAACTCAGTCTTGTGCCTTTGATGCTTCCCCTTTGCCCTATCATGAATTGGCTCTTATAATATGTTAATAAAAAAAGGTAAGTACAACCACTTTATAATCAAGATACTTCAAATCATGCACAAGTAGGTCAATTAATCATAAGCATGCAAAGTAAACAAGATACACAATCATTCACATATTAAACATTCGTTTCATAATAATTAATAAATTGTACAACTAATAACCTCCTTCATGTCTTCCTCTTTTCTTCCAAGTCTAAGGGCTATTCTCATGTGAATGACCAATGGGTTTTTGAAGACATGATTATGACCCATGGGTTTTTAAATACACACTAAAAGGCCCAATGTTTTTGTGTCGGCATCTGAACGATTTCTATCTTCAAAATCATTTATTCTTGAGAAGTTTAATAATTAGCTAGATTTTGTATATATAGAAATTTTAATCGCCAAACAAGGATATTCCATTGAAAAAGAAACTGATCTAATTATATTAAGGAACATTTAATCACATGTGATCTGGAAAACAAACCATCATTAAAAAACGCAACTTAGTGACATGAGAACTCACAGATTCTCTGAAACTATTATTGTATATTCGTCAACCCTTTTTCTGTCATCATTGAAAAAGCTTAAGATGAAGATAGTTTAAAAGAGCAAATTAATACCAAAAATGTATGTTCAAAAGTGTTTTGGATCATATATTTATTTTTGATATAATGTTTCCTTCAACTTTTAAAAATAGAATTATCTAATTCCTATCTGAGCAAAAGTTTCGACCATTATTTGATTAAAAAATTCCAAAATGATTAAAAAAAAATTATAGAAAATGACTCATAAATTTTCTTGACCATATTTTTGGGTCATTGGCCATAATTTGAGTCCTTTACTTTTTTTTTTGTTTTTTGTTTTTGGTAATTTTTTGATCTTTTTCTATTAATGTCTAATCAACTAGTTAAAGTTAACTTTTGTTAATAATAGGGATTAAATTATGCCGTTTTCAAAAATTGAAGGGAAACATGGCAAAAAAAAAAATAGTTTAGTGTCCGAGATGCTCTTTAACCTATTGTTGAGGAGTGAATTTGCTTTTACCCATACAAAATATGACATTAGGAATTGGAGGAGTTTTAGATAGACAAAATCAATCTTCACAAATATTGTACTGAATACTTGCAGCTGCATTAACATCCCAGACAAACCATATTGAACAATGAAATGATATCAAATGGAATGATTTAAGAACTGAATTGAATTATTTTAGCAACGAGAAGGAGGAAAAGAAAATAAACTCTCATTCAAATAAAACAGAAACATAGTTTAAAAAAATATATATCACAGCTCATTGATCTATTACCTCAACAAGAAATCGTTCTCGGTATTCAACATAAGCTTTTGAAACAGAGGACCCCAGCAACATAAAGTCGATCCATCAAACGATTAAACCATCGGAAAAATTTGTGTCTCCATGCCCTGATGAGAAAGAGAGAACCACAAACTCCCCAGAAGCCCGCTGCAAATCCAACTCCCATCCCGAGGTACAATGACTTAAAAAAAAAGTCATCTTCATTCACTTCAGCCTGATTTGAGTTGTTAGTTTCTTCTTTCTTATTGCACCTCTTTGGAAGAGGATCTCCACAAAGTCCAAGATTGCCAACAAAGCTCCAAGAATCAAAACTTTGAATTTGAGTCCCCAGTGGGATTTGCCCAACAAAATTGTTGTATGATAGGTTCAGATAATCGAGAAAAGACAAGTTAGAAATGGCTGGAGGAATTTCTCCCGAAAGTTTATTGCAACTAAGATCAAAAGATTCTAAGTTTTTCATACCTCCAATTTCTCTGGGAATCTTTCCTCTTAAGTGGTTTCGAGACAAGTTTAAGGACCACATTTGAATCAAACTAAACAATTCCTTAGGAATCTCTCCAGAAAAGTTGTTAGCAGAAAGATCAATCAATCGCAATAATTCAACGTCTTTATAATCTAGTTCTCTTCCTTTAGCAGATAGCTTTATTACCTTCAACCACAACGATGCATTAATTGGATGCATGATGTTATTTAGACAACTAGGTATTGAGCCTGAAAGCGTATTATCAGCAAGATCAAGTATTGCCAAAGAAGAGAGATTGCACAAGTGTGTTGGAATATTGCCTGTAAATTGGTTGGCCCTCAATTTGATAACTACCAAGTTTTGTGGCAGTGTAGGCAAAATTCCGGAAAATTTATTTCCTTCTAGAAGGAGATATTGCAAATTTTTCCAGTTTGACAAGTCTAATGAAAACTTGCCAAGGAAATTGTTACTGCTCAAATCCAAGTATGCAAGAAAATTCAATGAAGCAATTGATGGAGGAACTTCACCAGTCAGCTTATTACTCCCCAAATCAAGGTATATTAATTGTTCCCAATATTTGGCCCAACAATTAGGAAGTGTTCCACCTAAATGATTATATGATAGGTCCAAAGTAGCCAAACTGTACTTTTCCCTACTAATAATCTTTGAATGGCACAACAATGGGAAAATAGATCCGGAGAAAGAGTTGTGAGATGCCCAAAAGTTGACAACATTTGATGATATATGTGGGAGGCCACCTGTGAAACTGTTATACTCTAAATTTATAGATGTTGAGTTTAGTGTCAAGGGGGATATGTCTCCACTCATCAAGTTGTATGATAGATTGACATTATCGATTCTTGCAACAAAGCTCCAAAACATATCTGTGTCATCTATGGTTGAAATTCCTGATCCAGAAATGTCTAGCCATCTCAGTGACCGTTGTGTATATAGCCAAGCGGGAATAGTAGGACCTAGACTTGTGTTTCTCAACTCAAAATATTCAAGTTGAAACGGCGGGACCCAGTTAGGATCAATGTGGAATTTGAAACCAGATGAACTCAAATATAATGATGTTAAGTTTGAGAGATTGGCAAAGTTCTTTTCTGAGAGAACACCCTTCAAGGATTGTCTTCAATGCTTAAATGGTTCAAGTTATGGAGATGTCCAAGACTTTCTGGAAGACCCCCACTCAATTGATTGTTTGACAAATCCAAGAAAATTAACGAACAAAGATTTTCCACCAAGAGATGGTGGAATTGAACCATTGAATGAATTTTCACGGAGAAAAAGATGTTGTAACTGTTCATGTTGGCCTATCGAGTCTGGAATTGACCCCTTGATACTATTAAAGCTCAAGCTTAGTTGTTTTAGCTTTGGAAGCTTGAACAAAGCCATTGGTACTTTTCCATAAAAACCATTGTGGCTGAGGTCAAGAACAGAGATGTCATTGGTTAAATTAAATAACGAATATGGTAATTCTGAGTTGAGAAGATTGAAAGAAAGATCAAGAGTTGAAAGAGATGTAAAGTTGACATAACTGATGCGTGGAAAATCTCTCAATCCACAACTTCTCAAGTGTAACTCAGATAGTGAAGGAAGCATAGATACAAACTCGAGCCATTTGGTTTCATTTTCAATATCACAGTCATTCAGATCAAGATAATTTAAGGAAGAAAGTCCAGAAAGCCAACGAAGATCATTGATGGGCAAATCATAATTAGATGAAAAGTCAAGGTAACGTAAAGCAGCAGAAAGATTTGCTGATTGATCATCAGAAGAAGATCTAGAGGGCTGGCACGGTGGAATACTCACAGTTACAAATTCATTATGGTGCAAGTCCAAGTAGTTGAGAAATTCAAGTTGAAGTACTAGACATAGATTAATATCACCTTGTAATAGCTGACCAGCTAGATCAAGTTCTGTAACTCTGCCTGTAATGTTGTCACACTGAACTCCTATCCATGAACAACAATCTTCTTCTTCACTAGTCCATGAGAAGAGTCGATTTGCAGGATCTATCACTCCTTGTTTGAAGAGCAAAAGGAGTCTTCGATCTTTCTCATTGCAACGAACCGCCTTGTTTGTGTTACATATGATTTTGTTAAATTTTGTTGTGAATAGAAGCAACGGTATGATAATAAATGAAGTTTGAGAAGTGAAGCTAGAGTGAACACAATTAATGAAGCATTTTATTTGGTATATATAGTATGTCTTCAGGAAAATATTAGAAAAGCAGAGGCGAAACGGAAGTGTGAATGCCTAAACAGTATCATAATAATTTTCAAGTCTTACATCATAATCTTCGATTTATTTTCAACTTTTTCGGTCTTTTCAATGGAAAGGATCTCATAAAGGAATTCATTTTCAAATCGTTTGAACGCTTCAAAATATAGATATCGTCTAAACAACCACTGAATTTTTCAAGTACATTCCACTATATTTATCCTAATTTATAAAATATTTTAAATAAAATTACATATACCAATAAAACTTATTAAATATAATTTCCAACTTTATTTTCTTAAATCAAAATATAAATTTTAAAAAATACCCTTCATTAAATACTACATTTGTGAAAGAATATAATTAGAAGGATTATTTTAGAAAAATATCATTAATAAAATCTTATTTTTTTATTAAAATATTTTATATTTTGAAATGCCAAATCTCTCTGAAAGGCCAAAAGTGTCTCATAAATCTGGACAAAAGAAGTATTATATACAACAAAATCATTCATTTCAAATTCTACACATGAGGATATTATATGTGGAAATAATACAATAGATGAAATTTGTGAAGTGAAACTTGCTGGCCCGTTAATTAAATTGAATAGAATGAATTCAATGAAGAATGGTCATGGTGTATTATAAGCTATGAAAATTATTGTAAAAGAAAGTGTTGCTTGAGAATATTATTGGAAAATCAAATGTAAATAAGCATTTAAATGCCCAAAACAATATCTATAACCACATCTCATTGTTTAAAGTCAAGTTTTCTAGTACATATGCAAACATTTTCACACATCATTTTCCATATTATATAACTGTCAAAAGATCGCTGACTTGTTTTTCATTCAGGTCATGGAGGATTTTTTATTCGATGAAGAAAGGGATCCGTTTAAATTATTGGAGCAAACAAATAAATAAGTGCAATCGCAAATATACAAAATTGACTTGTCCCAAAACACTTATATAATTAGTATTTATATTTAAAATCATTGTGTATATAATAAGGTTGATCAATTCAACCGTTGGTTGCGATTCTTTTTCAATCAAAGTGAATAATAATTTCGCAATATTTCCTTCCTCGTCCCAAAACGCCAATTCTGACTCGGCAAGCAAAACTAATGGATTGCTATACTCATTTGACCCTATTTATAAATTACTTTCAACATATTTCATCAGCATTAAAAAAATCTTAAAATTTTTTAATTTTGTTTTAAAATTTAAGAAATTCTCAACTTTACTTCTATTAAATATACATACTTCAATAACATATTTTCTCTCTCCAATATTCAATGGAGGGTAAAAAAATTTATAATAAAAATTTAATAACATGACTCATAAATAGGATTAAAGAGAGTATATGTAGTTTAATTTGTTTTTAGCTTTTATTTTGATCACTTAATAGCTCTGTCTAGGAAATTGATAGATTGACTCTTTTTTTTCCTGTATTACTTAATTTGTTATCATCTCTATGGATTTTTCTTAGGAGAAAAAGATGTTGCCAATTTCGTCAAACTTCATTTTCTACAAAATCGCATTAAGCAATCGCAGAATGCTGTTTCAAGTCTCTCAGTTCTTTTCCAGGAAACTTCATAACTTTCCAACTGTGATATCCTTCGAAGTTACATGACCAAATTGCTTGAATGCTTCGAAAATAATTTCCACAGTAAAAAACACACACAAACACGCAATCAAAAGTTTCAGATATTAGGTTTGGCATGAATTAATCAATTGAATAAATTATTAGGTGTGGGTTTTTTGGTTAGTGTCTTGAATAGTTATGATGAGATTTGAAGTTCTAAGTCTTGCTTTGTCATGCAGTTACAAACCAATTTCTAATAATAGGTGCGGTTTGACATTAATTGAATCGGTGTGGTTTAATTCTTGGGAAAATGTTGGCAAAAAAAAAAAATCTTGAGAAAATGACAAAAAAAAGAGGACATAATTTAGATACTTAGTCTTATATATTTAATATAATTTTATCTAATCAAATCAAAATAAATAAATTTTACTGTGTTAATAATATTAATAATAAGAGTTTATTATACAATAAATAATTTGTAAAAAATTCACATATCTTAATTTAATTAAAAACAAACACCTTAAACATATAAACAACATATCCCTAAACTATGTCAGACAATAACCCAATCAAAGTAGTTATTTCCCAACGCATAATAGTTGTTGAGAGCAAATATGTTATTTTGTCAAAATTCAAAATGCCAGACAAACCTCCAAGGACAAAGTAATAATTATCACATTTTGTTGTACTATATTATTATTTTCATATTTCGGGGACATGTTTTTATCATTATCCCTTAATTTTCCTCTACTGTTCAATATTTAATTAAGTGTTCTGTTTGTTTGATAAACTCAATAGTTAAGCGTTATATCGGTCATTCTCTTATTAATTATTCACCTTATAAAGACCAATTTCGATTGCTTTACAGTAATTCATACATTATAATTTTTTGACCAAAAGTATTCATGTATTATAATTTAATAATAAATTGAAGGTCATTATTACCCTTCAATTATTCACTTAGACATATTTGGCATCCTAAACTTCACTTTAGTTCAATGGTTCCTCAAACATTTAAAAGTGAAGCAGTTTAACTCTTGCCATAAAAAAGGAACTGTACGAAAGTCTAAAGATAAATAATATCTCATAATTCAATAAAGGTCCCGTAGCAGCTAAAGATGCCTTCCACCATTACCAACCCACCAGTTTCGGTGTTTGCACGGATAATAACCATAACTCTATAAAAAATTTTGTTATTTTATTTTTTTAATATTTATTAATAATTTTATAATATGAGAAGAAAAAACATTTGACATAGTAATTACGCATTTTACGGGATAAAAAAAAGTGAGTTTGGTTTAAGAAAGGGGGAGAGTGATAAGTGGTCTTTTTTTTTTTGGTTGCCTGAGGTAATCCTACAACCGACAACATGAGATTAATCCCCCAAAGAATTAGAATATCATTTAAGAGGTTTTTCTTTTTCAAGTAATATTTTTCTATACTTGCTTCCAAAAATCAAATGATGGAATAATGCTTAATAGGCCCAAATTGTTATTATGTGTACCACATCTACTTGGCGATAAGTGGTCATTTTAATAACCGTGATTTTATATGTATTTTTTTCCCTTTTATTACCTGAATAATACACAAAATAAGCTTAAATAAGAATAAAATACCTCACTTGTTGGTTTCGTGTTTGTTTACAGAGAAAAGGAGCAAAATAACATAAATTGAGCTAAACACGTAATGGATTTGATGGAGGGCCCAAAAAGGAATATGTTCATAGATAAAATCGGCCGAAGAACCACCTGTTCATGGACACAAATGGAAGAGAAGGCCTATCACACCTGCCTATGTCCGCTCGCGGACAATTAATGAAGGAATGTAAAAGTGTACAGAATAATAAATTCAGACTATTTTGAATTAAATTTAAAAGAAGATAGTGATATTTATTATTATTTAAGAAAACAGAAAAATATTTTGAAAAGGATTTAATAATTAAATAAAGCAAATAAAGGAGAAAAGTGAGTAATCGATCAACCAACCAATTAAACAAGCACTAAAATTTAGTTATTTATCATTTTTTTTTTGTAATGACAACGATTTCTAAGATTTCTTAATCTTCTAATATATTAAGATGTATTTAATTAAAGTTAAATTTAGCTTCTATTAAATTCTACTCTTTAATTAAATCATAAATTTACGATCTAAGCCACTACAGACTCTTAAATTATTCCTAATCTAGTTATCTACACCTATATCTCTAAGTCTAGATGAGTTTTTCACCTTCCAATTTATCAAACTACTTACAAAACAATTTATATAGTAGCCATCTATATATATATATAAGAAATTTGAGAAAGATAAATAGAAAAGCAAATGAATAAACTTTATAGACAAATTATATTGTTCAACAAGAAAAAAAAAAAATCCAACCATATAAAAGAGCAAAACCATCCCAATCAGGCTATTCCTTACCTAATTGAGAGTTTAGGAAGAACTCATAGTTTATTGCAAAACATCCTAATGAAAGACATAAAAAAAAAATTAGAGAAAAAGAAAAGAGATAAATTCCCAACTTGGAAGAACTCTTTCAAACTTCATAATACACCTCCTAGAGAGTTTTAGGAGGTTTGTGTACAATAAATTTGACTCCCTAGTCTTAGAATCAATCCAAATCATGCCTTATCTCATTAGATATACTAATATATGGTTTAACATGATTTAAAATAACAATTTTTTTTTTTTTTGCATTTTTCTCTTCGTCACCTCTGGTCATGCATTGAGTAATTTCACTCACCCTAGTTGAAATCATTTTTCTTCGTCCGCCGCCCTAGTTGAAATTTATGGAACTGAATTTTCTTGTTTTAAATTTATGTTTCGATCCGTTTTTTTTTTTTTTAACTTAGTGAGGCTATATAAATCATTTTTCCTCATTTCATCACATTAATTGATACAATTAAATCTAAAAGTCTCCAAAATTACGTCAATAATGGATTTATCAGGATGCTGACCGTTCGCTGACAAAGACGTCTGAGTTTTACACCCTGATAAGAAGTCTCAAGTAAAGAGATGTGGGAAAGATATAGAATGACAAGTTTAAAACATCTGCTAAAACGTTATCACCAAAATGGGCCTCAGTTTACTTACTGGAGGAGAAAAGCCCAAGCCTGATACCACACACACACACACTCTTTTGGTCCTATTCATAGGCAGATAGGTGCCTTTATCTCATTTATAAGTCACCTCAATAATTATTATGTCAATTTTTATTATTTTTATCTCTATTAAATATTGAAAATATTATTAAATGGTAGAGCATTTTATCTTTAAATATGCATTTAATAGAGGTAAAGTTGTGAATTTGTTAATGAAGTTTAAAGTTTTTCTTGAGATTAGTAATAATGATGGAAATAATTTATAAATAGGAGTAAAGGAATATATATATATATAAGGGCAATTAGGGAATTTAATTGTAGGAGAGAGAAAGGTAAGGAAGATTTTGGCATCGTTTTCTTTGTCCCTATCCCAACTGAAAGTTCTGCGAAGACATCTTGACGCGTTTGGACCTGGTTGCTTCTACGAAGCTCCTACGCGGTTAGAACTAAATTAATTACCAGGATATTGTTGAAAGAAATTAAATATGTGAGTATATGTGATATGAAGATGTATAGAATATTCACGAGAATATATATGTATGTATGTATGTATCATATTAAAATGTTATGCATATAAAACTACAAGATGTTAAGGATTAATTTTTCCCCGTTCGTTAACTAACGCGTTGAAATGTTAATTAAGAACGGAAATTACTAACAATATTCTTGGGGATTTCACTGTTTTGGTCAATGCAAGGTATATATGATATTAAGAATGAAGCCATCTGTCAGTGAATAGATCTGTTGCTAATGGAGACATTAATTTCTGCATCAGCTGCGTCTTGAAGAGACAGTAAGGTATGAACACGAATATCTCTCTTCATCCTCACAGATTTCATAATATTACTTCTTGTAAAGCCTTGGCTTTGTGTTGCTGCTATCTTCCATGTTGAAGGGTTTTATTTTGGAGCCAAATTTCTTTTATAATTTCGTCTTGATTGTTATTCTTCTTTTCTCCAATTTCTTTGTTATTAGAACGGTTCAGTTTCCAAAGTCTTGCAATGGCACATGATGCTGATGGATTTAGGCATTCTTCAAGAATTTCTGGTTCAACTCTGAGATGGAAATATCACGTGTTTTTGAGTTTTCGAGGAGAAGATACTCGTACAAGTTTTGCAGATCATTTATATGTTACTTTGCAACACAAGGACTTATAACTTTTAGAGACGAGGAACAACTTGAAAAGGGAGGAGCAATTAAAGAAAATCTACTCCAAGCAATTGAAGAATCTTTTTCTGCAGTTATTGCTCTCCCCGAATTATGCTTCTTTATCATGGTGCTTGGATGAACTCCTAAAGATTCTTGACTCTAAGAAAACGTTGGATCTTCAAGTATTTCCAATCTTTTACGGTGTAGATCCGTCTGATGTTCGATGTCAAAAGGGAAGTTTGCAGAAGCATTCAAAAAGCATGAAGAAACACACGAGAAAATGAAGGTGCAGAGATGGAAGGATGCATTAGAAGAAGTTCCTAACTTAGCTCGTTGGAACTCTAAAAATTGGTAATTTCTACAACTCCAAACAATTATCTTGACTTTATTTTTAAGAAGTATTAGAAGTCTGGGCATTCATATCCATATATGAACTCCAAATTAACAAATACCATAAGGATATCATTTTACATAAAGATAATACACCCCTTTACATGTCTTTTGAAATCGATCGAGGATTATTTTATGTGCTATATATATATATCTATTTAGATATATCAATTAAAACAACTTTCATAATTGATTATTTCGTTTGAAAAAAATACTTTTTTGTATGTTAAAATTCCTAACAATTACATGCATTCCTCTTGAAGTTTTTCAATCTAATCCTTTCACAGCATGTTATTCAAATTTATACATATACCTTCTTTTTAGTAATAATTGGGTTCCACAAAATTTATTCTTTTCAATTAGAAATATAACTATTTAACTAATATCAAATTATAGTAATTAAGGAATTATGATTATAAATGTTAATTTTAGTTTTTGGTTAAGCTAAATCAATGTTAAGTTTATGACCATATTTCCTTTATATTTCACTCTAATTATGTATATAATTTATGAGTAAAATTTTTAAATTCAGTTGACTTGATTATTTATCTTATTATTTAATTTTCCCACGCAGGCATGAAACAGAACTCATAAAAAGTGTTGCGGAGAAAGTGTGGACAAAAAATTACATAATGAATGCCAATTGACAATGATATATTAGTCGGGATTGAATCAAAGATAGCAAAATTGGATTCAATAATCTCCAATGGATTGGAAGAAGTTCGATTCATAGGAATATGGGGTATGGGAGCGTTAGGTTAAAACCACTCCCACGAGAGTTGTTTATGAGCAAATACACAAAAGCTTTGAAGTTCATTGCTTTCTTCTAGATGTTAGAGAGGCATCTGAAAAGATGGCTTGATTTCCTTGCAAAGAAAACTTCTTTCTTATTTAAATTTAAGAAGTGAGGAATTGGATGATTGTTATGATGGAAGGAAGTTGATAAAAAACGTCTTATGCAATAGAAACGTTCTGCTCGTCCTTGATGATGTGAGTAATACAGATCAACTTGAGAATTTAGCAGGAAAGCAAGGATGGTTCGGTCAAGGGAGTGGAATTATAATAACAACTAGAGATAGAGATATACATTTTGTTATCATTGCATGGTGTCTCTACTCAATATGAATCAAAACCTTAAGTGATGATGAATGTCATTTGGAGTTTTCTAGAAGTATGATTGAATATGCTAGAGGTCTTCCTTTAGCACTTAAAGTGTTGGGTTCATTTTTTAGTGTGGAAAAAACTATATCAGAATGGAAAGATGCAATGGCTAAGTTCAAGAAGATTCCTCCACATGACATTATGAAGATACTTAAGTGAGTTTTGATGGGTTAGAAGGTGATGAGAGAGACTATATTTTTAAATATTGCTGCTTTTTTAATGGGTGGACAAAGACATTGCGATGCAAATCTCACAAAATTGTGATCTTCACCCAAAAATTGGGATAAAAGTTATAATTTATGATAAAGAGGTTTTCCAGGTGCATGATATGCTTCAAGAAATGGGTAAGAATAGTTTTTCAAGAATCACCTAATGA